TTTCACCCTGCAATGACACAAATAGGGTAACTTTCTAGATCTTTCGGTATAACCCTCATTTTGTGATTTTAAATATGTATTGCAGGAAGTGTTGAAGGTAAAGGAAAAGGGAAAATGTGATAATTTCCCTATATGTTTACCTACATGAGGAGTTGATGATGATATGTATAGTTTTGATAGATGAACATTGATTAGTTCAGGAATTTGTATTTTGAATTGTTGGACCATGTATTTCATACCGGTAGATTCTTGTATTAAAGGACCTGAATGATGTATAAACATGTATTTCCTTTATGAAGTATGTGATTACATGAAATATGTGGTATGGGGTGTTACAGAAATGGATGACTATTGATCTGTAGAACAACTCACGGATATAGACATGTGGCTTAGTTTTGTGTTCTGCCACTGTCAATAGAAAACAGGTCTTCTCCGTCATCCAAAAATGGATTTGGTATTTTGATTATTATGAGAACCGATTGTTTTTATAATGTTTCTTTACATGTAAAGATCATATTTTCAAACTTATTGTTTTATATTTGTGTTATAAATTGTTTAAACATAACTACAAAGGTGATGACTAATTGGTTTAAGCTCGGACTCCAAAGGTCAAAAGTGTCTGGAGGTCTCAGGTTCAAATCTGAGAGAAATAAAAATCCTCTTGTGACCACGGAGATTCAAGTGCGGTGACTTCGAGCTACTTGCAAAGCAGGTGGTCGCCCTGAAATTATTCCCTCTAATGGTGAAACTCGTATTTTGATATTTGAATACCAAGTTTTTGTAAGCGGTTATTTTTCCATATTCTTGGGATGTTACAACATGTACAAACAAGCACGGGGTCTTAGTCTCGAACCCGTCGGTTGTCGACGGACTGCTCGAGCTGCTTCCATCACCCGACTTGTTGTGATAACCGGATTCCGGTTATATAATTTGGGGTGGTTTTGAAAGTTTTAGTAAGTAGTTATTAATTTAAAATGATTATGTGTATGTGATTGTGCTTATGTGATATTCTAATTATATATATATATATATATATAT